ACTCTTTCCGTTTGGGGGAAAAAAGAATTCCCTGGTAAATGTAGTGCACTCCTCCTTAGAAAGGCACAGAAATGTGTAGGTGAATTGAGCAAAACATGGATCATAAAACAGCAGTCACAGGTGCTAAAGTTATTTTATATTTTCTTAATATTACTTTGTGCAAAGTCTCCTCTAGTGAGTGATTATTAAAGTATCAAGCATGAGTTTAAGCTGCTTACATTCTCCAAAAGAAATGGTGTGGCTTTTGGTTTCTTGGGGGTTTATGAATGCAGATGTGTGGATGGAGGCGGATTTGTTGAAGCGTTCTTGATTTTAATATTTTGCTATGCCTAGAAACTCAGGTAAAGGTCGAAGGATAAGTTTAGTCATACTTTAGTCATTACTTGACCCTGTGAATTTACTGTAGGTAGCTCTTTAAACTGACCAAATGCCTTGTTTGAGTGATTGTTTTTACTTTTAAAAAAAGGTACTAACAGTGTATCACTCCTTTTTGTAAAATATTCATTTCTGTGTTTTGCGTTTGCATTTGATTCCCTTTACTTATTATCTATGTACTGTGATTTTCTGTACACATCTTAAATTACTATCTTCCCAATCTGGCCAAAGTGGAGAGTCTTGCTACTCTGAGAAGATGTGCACTAATATTTGATCATAATTACTTTTTTAATATGTATAAATACAGTATTTGTATAGTAGTTTGCCTGGTACAAAATGTGGCCAGTAGTGAAATTAACCTGCCTAACATAATGGGTTGTATAATGTGACCTCGAGTCAGACAGCACTGGGTCGTCCACTGTACACTATGTATTTATCTGTGCCAAACTGATCCTGATCACCAGACTGGTGGTGGTTCGTGTGATAACAGTGCTAAGATATATCTTTCGCTCTCTCTATTTTGTTTTGTTTTTTTTTATTCAGAGAGACTGCTTTAACATTACACAGTCTCTTAGGTGCCCTGTGCTTGTACATTGGCTGAAGGATGCTAGTGGTGCTCATCGGTTGATTGGACATTGGACAGTTCATTCCTCCCTGTATTGTCAGTTATAATGTTTAACACCTGATTGGGTTTACTGTCAAAGTCTTAGAAGGATTTGGCCATTTGTTGAGAATGTTTTTCCTTTTTTTTTTTTTTTTTTAAACAGATTTATTATGGCCAAACAGAGGCCTCCTAAGTTATTATCTGGCCTTTGATCAGCCCCACCTAAAGTTGCCCCAAGCGCTGAGGCTTGAAATTCAGCTGATGTCAGCACCATGTCATTACTTGATTAAGTGTAAATAGGTATGTCATAGTTTTTATTGGTGCAAAAGAGATGCAGTTGAGGTTGGCTGACTTCTTTTTCACCAGTCTGCCTCTCTGTAAGTTAGGATTTAGATGCACTTTGGAAAATGAACACTGCTGTGAATGCTATAGGCTACAAGCTGTTTTCCACATATTTATCAAAGCTAGTTTTAGACTTAGTTTACAAAGGCAAAGTGTTAATGAGTCCCAAACAAGGCTTAAACCACTGCTATTGTACTGAAAAGAACATCTGTTTACTGCTACAGTAGGTCTGTGCAGATACGATATGTCAAGACATAAAAGACCGTCTCCAGCATGTCCCTGCCTTTAAGGTCCCCTTTTATAATGAATGTTACATGAGAAGGAAAGTGTTCATTTTCACAGAGCAGCATGCAAAGCTGTGAATGCTCCAACTACATTCTTATTTTCCAGGCTGTCTGCTGATATTCAAGCATTTTTTTTAATATTACTGGTCACAAGCAAGTTACAGTATATTACTAACTGAAACATTTAATCCAGAATGACAAAATCTAACCTCGAGCTATTTCTCCAGCAATCATCCACTCGGGAACAAAAAAAATTAAATATCCTTCCTATCCCCAAAAGATATTGTCACACTAAATATTAGAGCAATACAAAATGTCTAAGACTGATGGGTTTCCAATACCCCAACTGTAGCTGTACTGACATGTGGGTATATTTACCAGTACGTCTTCTAGGTAGAATGACTACATTGTTAACGGCTCAGGTGACTCACAAACGCTACTCAACTTGCTTTGCTGTTGAGGACTGTAGTGGCTTACTGCAGCAGAACCAAGCAATGCTGACATTTGTAATACACATCAACAGGAGCACCCTATGAAGACACAGATTCACAAATGCTGGGTAAATCCCCGATCCCTTAACTGATCATTAAGAGAATTGGTGGGAAGTAATGACATGGCCCTTTGCTATTGGAAATAACACAAGTTTACTTCTGTTGATGGGAAGCTAGTCAGACATGCTAACCTTTGCAGCTTAGATAAGCAGAGTTTAATCCATTGCTCACAGTTTTGCTCTAGTGTATTTGTTTTTGTAAAAGCTACCAACTCTATAAACTCTTTAAATGCGGAGTATTGCTATAAAAAAAACAAAAGCTACCAACTCGATAAACTCTTTAAATGCGGAGTATTGCTCAAATTAGACCCCACAACCCTTTCAGCATGTGGAGAGATCCAAAACTTGCCGGACCTGCTCTGTCTATTTGTTATGATTGGACAATGGCTGTTCAGGGGTTTAATGACTGGTCAGTTGGCTGAATGCAGTGTGTAGTGGCTTTAACAGTCCGTCTGGTCATCAATATTGCCACAGAGCACATTAGTAAGTCAAGTTGCCAGTCAAATTGATTGTGTAATTACCACCTTTAGCACTTCCCACCCAGCTCAGCCATCTTATGACTATTAGGAAATAAAAGCTTAGTAGTCAGCATCTCGGCTTCAGCCTCGTACCTCAGCCAACAGGCCTTACTGCCTTAAAGAAACACAACGTAGGACATTACTAATCATTCACTTTATATCTTGAATCTGTAACAGACGTATTCAGAGGATTGTAGATCATCCTGCAGACTGTGCAATTCTAAGTCAGGATATCTGCTCAATTTATCATTATGGCTAAAAAGACTTTTAACTTTGCCTCAGGCTGCAGAAGGGAGGGATCACATTTAGACAAAATCAAGGGGGCACTTTACTGCTCTGCTGCTTTGGCTATGAATCACTATCACAGACCAACACATGGCTTCTCTGCAGCTGCTCAAGTAGTTTTTCCCCAGGTGTGTGTGTCATTTTGAGCCCACATATAGTAATCTAATATGTGGCAGTGTCTGTAAAATATGTACTCATGGGACATAAATGCAGGGTCAAAGGTCATTTGTGCCTTTTATTGCACAGCCTACTCATTCTTAAGAGTGTAAATGTATGTACAGTTTTTAAAATATATGACAATGTGCATGTAACTAAGCCATGTAAAATGTTCACTGTAAATAATGTAAATAGATATTTAATGGAGAAGACAGCATTCCCTCAAGAAATACATACATTAAGCTGAAAACAACTGTCTTGTTTTGACTTGTGATGTGATGAATTTACTGAAATGCAATAACCAAATTTATTGCATATTGACTTTTTTCCAGTTTTCAAGGAAAAATGCCAAATATGTGCTGGTTTCAGCTTATCAGATGTGATGATTTGCTGCTTTTCTTTATTTTGTCATTATAAACGGAGTAGCTTTGGGTTTTGAACAGCTGGTCGTATAAAACAACAAAACCTCGAGCTTTAGGAAGCTGTGTTGGGCTTTTTACACCGTTTTCTGACATTAACTGAGAAAGTTATGTGCATAATTGATAATAAACATAATCAGCATTTGCAATGCTAGTTTGAATCATAAAAAAAAATCAAGAGACCATTATCTGAAAGATTTTTTAACCAGCTTATTTGACCTTGTTATAGTATTTATCCAGTTATTTGCAGATTACATCACTTAGCTCTGCATTTCCTCTATTGGATAAGAAGGAAAATGGTTAATTTGCAGCATAAGCAGACAAACAGGTGTTAAGGGATGAGATAGAGATGTGTTGTTCATTCAGATGCTTTTTTTTTTCTCAACTCATACATCTTCATTTCCTTCACAATCTCTGATCATTAGCTCATGTGGGCCTGCACTTGTCCCTGCCGTGACAGAAGATGCAAGCATTGTGATGTATGATGGCCATTAACGCCTCAGAGGAGGCAAAACTCATTTGAAGACGCCAGTCACAAACAAATAAACATCCATACACAAACCCTGTCATGTCCCAGCTGTATATGTTCCATCTGCTCTCTCCACATATAACAGACTTCTGAAATTTCTTTTGAATGTTTTCGTCTGTTTCATTACGCTACAACGCTCCAGTAAGTCTGTTACTTGCTGATGCATCAGTGTCTGTCTTACTCTGTCAGTCACCCCTTAACTATAGAAATCAGTTTGAAATTCAGTCAGATACCCTGACAGAACAGTCCATGTCCCATATTCATTATGCTTACTGGTGAGTAAGCTAAAACGAATTTAATTACAGATTCACAAGTAAAACTACTGTAATTTATTATGGATGACCGTGTCATTGGGGAAGTTGGTCAGTACACCACTTTCCACAGTCCACAGAATATTGGTACAGATATTCATCATCACCTGAGGATGAACTGTAATATCACTGATCCCCTGACCTTTCATGCTGTGCCAACATCGGGTTAAAACTTTGCACTTTGGTTTATGGTCAGATACCTGGAACACTAATGGCACTCCCATCTGCCTCAGCTGCACTTGATGTTTATTGCTACTTAGGAAATGTGAATATTAACTTGCTGAACTAAGATTGTGAATATTACCTGCTAAACATTAGCACTGTCACTGTGAGGATGTTATGATGTTGACATTAGCAGTTTTACATCCTACAGAACCCCAAGCATGGCTATAGATTCTCATGTAATACAGACTATCCTCCAATTTTAGATTTAGAAACAAAGTATTTAAAGCACCTACAGATCAATATTTTTATATTAACAGTGACAGATCTCCAATTTTAAAAATGAATTGCACAGTACAGTGGCCAGAATATTTACTCACTTCTCCTCACTTCAGTCTGGCATCTAATATTTTGACTGTTGCTTTTCA